CAGCAGTATGTTAGGGCACGCATCCATGTGGATCGCCGGGCTCCTCCTCCTTGAAGAAGACACCGAACCGGCGCTTCAGGGCGCGATGGTACAGCCAGAGGTCAGCCGCGACGATGTCGAAGATCTGCTCGGGGAAGGGGGAATGCAGTGGAGCGTGTGGAAGGGGGGGTGGGGGGCGAGGTGAGGCGATTGGCCGCAGGCGGGCGACGACCTCTGGCGAGACGCGTGCGTCCTCATGCCTGCCGCACAAGGGAAACCGTTGATCTGGTGCGAGCAGACAGCGTCTGGGAGCTGAGGCGCGGCCTGTGCGCGTTTGCAACCACGTGCTTTTGCAGCCGCAGCCACGGGTCGCCCATCCACTCGCCTGGCATAATGAGGCACGAGCTGTCAGGGTGCGTGGGCACGCCTTGCGTAACCACCGTCTCCTGCTCGCCGAGCCGCGCCAAAGGGTAAGTATCGTGCAGGTCAACCTCGGTCAGCAGCACGAGAGTCTGCTCGTCCGCAAGCCAAGCGTCCGCCTGTCTCGAGCGGGCCGCTGCTGTGTGGGTTGCGTTGCGTGCGGCGTCTGTCACTCGCGGGAACAGGCGGAGGCCTCACGCCACGCCGCGCAGCTCTGGAGCCACCCTCGTCCGTTCCAACCCTCGGGCGAAGCGAGGGCCCGCAGGTAGTAGTTGCCTATCTCAAGAGAGCGGTCCGCCTTTGCGGCGAGAGGCAGAGCCGCGCGTCCCCGTTGGCGCTTGGCGACCGAAATACCGCGCGTATTCGACCATGGACATATTTGGGCACGTCAGCCGCTCCGGGTCCACCTTTGATGGCCGAGCGGAGAGGGGTGTTGCGATGGGCGCGATCTGCTTTGGTGCGAGGATGGGCTTGCCTTGCCGCATTGCCGGCCACCCTCCTCACAGCTGCGGCAAAAGTACGAGTAGGCGGAGAGGAGGCGCGAGATCGGGTGGCGCAGCAGCGTAAACTGACGGCACGGGCGAAACCAGTTGCGCTCGCAGAAGCGCGGCCGCACGCACGAGGCGTGCGAGCAGTAGCCCATCACAACATCCCGCCCCGGCACTGTCGTGCAGCAATGCCTGCGCGCAGTGCGGTGCGAGCTGAGACTGGGATGGTGCGAGGTTGTGGGTGCCCGGGCGCGCGCCCATCCGAGAATCGACGCTGCAGCAGCGCCGGGTCCTCGAGCATAGCGCAGTCGTACGGCGGTCCCGGCCGCCAGTCCTTGGGCATGTACTCGCACGGCATGTCGCCTGCAACAATACGCCACGCTCCTTTTTGACTATGCGGGTGCCCTCCTTTCTACGGAACGTCTCGTGCTATCTGGTTGCATGGCGTGCAATCTTCTCACCGTAATCGCCATAGGAGGGCCAGCCAAAGGTGCGCTCACGGGCTGCAAAGATGTGCCGGAGCGTCGTCGACCCTGAGGCAACGCTCAGCATTGTGATGCGAGGGTGTCGAGCGCTCTTGGCGGGGAAGGGATTGCGGGCCTGTCTTGTCAAAGGCTAGCATAAAATAGATCGGCTCGGATGCGCTTGGCGCTTGCTGCCGGCGCATGGCGAAGTCGGATCAAAGCCCAACTTCCGAAATTGCCAAGTGCGCTCTCGAGTTTGTTGCGCTTAATTAAAAAAAGCGAGAAGCTTTGTTGATAGATCTAATCCCTCTGTTCCTTTGTAGTGCCAGTCCCGTGTGTACTTGTTACGTGAAAACCCGCTGGGGCCCGGACGCCAGCACACACGGCTAGATTTCATGGCGGGCCGCCTAGGCCCTGGGGTCGGAGGTAGAGTCGGTGGTGGTGCCGCGCGCGGCGCGGGCCTCGCTGGCGGGGCCATCAAGGGCGGGGTCGGGGAAGGGGGGTGGGGTCGGTCGCGTCGGCAGCCGCGCGGCGGTGGCCGCGGGCCGGGGGGGCGGGAGGAGGCGGTGGCGCCGACCGCAATGGCGGCCGACCCGACGAGCGCCGGGCGAGATCGCGAGGGTCGAGGGTGAGCTCGAAGCCGAGGGCGGCGGCCGAGTTCTGAATGGTGAGGGCGTCGGCGGTGACGATGGCGGCGGAGATGGCGGCGGAGTGGGAGCGTGAAATTCTCTTCGAGGAAGCCGTCGCCCGCCTTGCCGTTCGAGGCGAAAGCCCTCCGGCCTCTGCCCCCGCGGCCAGACAACCCGTGCGCCACCGCCAGCGCTTCATCCTCATGGGCGCAGTGCGGAGCCGATCGCTCCTCATCCTGGCTCAGCTCGCGGCATCCACAGCAGCAGCTCTGACCACGCCCGGCCGCCTCGTCCTTCTCCGTCACGGCGAGTCCGCGTGGAACGCTGCTGGACGCTTCACTGGTTGGTGAGAGCACTGTCTCCGAGACACTCTGCCTACACCGCCAATCCGCCACCTGCCAATCCAGGGGGAAGTAACCTTATTGGCTTACCACGGCGCCGTTCCGCAGGGAGGACGTCCCGCTCACGCCCCGAGGCGAGGAGGAGGCGCGCACCGCTGCCGAGCTGCTCCTCACCGAGGCGGGCGATGTTCGCATCGACACCGTGTACACCAGCGTGCTTGGCCGCGCCCTACGCACCGCAGGTCTCTGCGTCGAGGCACTCCGCCGGAACGGGCGCCCGCCGCCGCCGATCCTGCCGACGTGGCGCCTAAACGAGCGGCATTATGGGATGCTGCAGGCGTAGCCGCATCCCTGACGCAACCCTCCCTTCTGCGCTGCCGCGAGTCCTCGCCGCCCCCCTGCCCCTGCAGGGGCTCGACAAGCGCGACACGCTCGAGAAGTGGCCCGACCCAGCCGCGCTCCGCGAGTGGCGCCTCTCCTTTGCCGGGAGGTGAGATTTAGATGTGGCAAGCCCGCCCAGGCCGCCTCTGTGGTCCCCGGCTGACCAGCTTCCCACCGCTCACCCGGCGCCTCTGCCTCGCGCGGCAGGCCGCCTCCGATGGCGGCAGACCACCCCTTCTACAGCCGCTCGCCCGAGAGACTGGCGGCGCTGCGCGCTGCCAACGCCGACGGCGACCCTCGTCGCTGAGAGAGGAGGCGCCTCTTGGTCGATGGCCCCTTCTCCATGACCCCTTCTCGGAGCCCGACTGTGCAGGCGAGCTGCTCGAGACCGAGATTGTCCCCGAGATTACCCGAGATTAGTCGGAGCCCGGCCGCGCAGGCGAGCCGCTCCGCGACGAAGACGTGCCCCTCACCGAGTCGATCGCCGACTGCGTCTCGCGCGTGCGCCCGTTTTGGGAGAACGAGCTGCTGCCCGCGCTGCTGGACGGCTCCAGATGCCTCGTCGGCCACGCCGGCTCGAGATTACCCGAGATTACCCCAAAGATTACCCGGGATTAGGCTCCAACTGTCTCGTCGTCGGCCATGCCAACGGGCTGCGCGCCCTGGTGGCGTGCGTGCAGCAGAACGTCGACGACGAGAGCCTTCCGTCGCTCGGGCTCCCCAACGGTTTGCCGCTGATATACGAGCTCGAGCCCGACGGCGGCGTGTGCGGTGGCCACTGCACATGTCCAGGACACGTCCTTGACATGTCCGAGACTTGTATGGACAGGCAGCGTGCGGTACCCGAGCGAGGGGCGCTGCTACGTGCCGCCGTTGCAGGCCTACTACTTGGGCGACGCGTGCCTCGTCTTCAACGCCCTCGACCAGGACCGGTCGGGCGCACTCAGCAGAGACGAGCTGCTCGACGTCTGCCGCGCCTCGTTCGACAGCATCGACGGCGACGGCGACGGGCAGGTACCACCAGCACACCCCGCCGACCACCGCCCCACTTATAGATCACACGCACCCGGGGGTTGCCTGGGCCGACAGCTACTTGGGTTGCGCGGGCATCCGAGAGAGGAGCGTCTATTCACACCACACGCTGTGAGCAGGTTGCGGCGGAGGAGCTCGCGGCGGCGTGCGGCGACGAGCTGCTGCGCGATGCGGACACGAACGGGGACGGGTCATCATCCCGCGAGCATGCCGCGGCTGGGTATGGCCCTTCTCAGGGCCGCCTCGGAGCCCCCCATCGTACGTACGTCCCTCGTAGGCTCGTCAACTTTCTCGAGTACATGGCTTGGTGGAACAGGCAGAAGCGAGGCGCCGCCGGGACCAGCGACCAACTCAAGAGTTTCGACCAATGACCGCGTGGGTGCCGGGTTGCACGGGTGCCGGCTGCGCGGATCGCCGCCGCCGCCGGCTACGCTGGTGTCGGATGTGTTGGTGCAGGCGCCGGTTGCGCGGGGTGCTCGTCGAAGCTCGTCGCGTAGGCGGAGCAGACGACGGCCTCGCAGGTACCTGCTCCGTGCGCTGCTTCGCCCGCAGGCCTGCTCTCGGCGCGACTTTGGCAGCTGCAGCCAAGGCTTCTCGCGGCCGTGGCCCGCACGCAGCTGCCCATGCGCGTCGGCCGCGCGGGTGCCGCCGGACGCCACGACGCAGCTGGGTAGACATGGCAGCGATCGGGCGGTGGTGGCAATGGCAGCGGCGGCGGCGGCGATGGTGATGGCGGCAGGCTAGGGCGAGGCAACGTGAGTTGCGGCGCCCGCAGCCGCGACGCTCCTCGCTGCGCCCTCCGAGTGCCGCGACAGAGGCAGGCTCGGGATCGGCTCTCTGCTCCTGTGACTACTTCCGCAGGCCACGCCGTGATCGGGACTGGGGTTGCGCAACCACGTCTCCTCGTGCACTCGGTTGAGCGTTGCCCGTCGTCCGCCAATGGCTGAGCCCCAACCTCGACATCATCTCGACCGCAAAGCTCGACACCGGGCGACACTTCCACACTAAGTCGGCAGGTTCAGGCCACTAGCATTTTCTGAGCGGGAGATGGAAGATCCAGATGCGCCCCAGTTTGCTCAAGAGAGTCTTTCTCATTGAGTGTTCGCGGCGCTACTCGAGACTCAGAAAACGACTCTCTGTAGTTTGCACGTCCATAATCGCCCACCTCTGATATTGTGTGCTCTTTTGAACAGTGTGGCTTTTCGAGAGTGTAATCGAGTCTCACAGGTGAGGTCACCAGAGAGACCACCTCACGACCGGGACTGCCTCTGCGTGACGACCGACCCGTGCGCCCGCGGCCTCGGCGCGCCGGGCGGCTTGAGCTCGGCCTGCGGCGTCGCATCGCGAAGGGAGTCCCACTCTACGTCGCTCGCCTGTGACCGCTCCAACCACGCCGCTGCCTCGAAGAGAGCAAACGGCGGCCGCAACGTTGGCGCGGCGCCGCAAAAGCAGAGGGCGAGCGTGGCGGTGTGGCGCTGCTCTGCGGCGGCGTAGCAGCCCTCGCCGCACACCAGCAGCTGGCGCGACCACGGGCAGCGCCACAAGCGCCGCTGCCGACTGCCGCACACGTCGCAGCCGACGATGCTCTCGGCGGCGTCGCGCCGCTTGCGCTTGCCGCCCGCCTGGTGGGGAGCTGCTTGCTGCGCCGATCGCGCGTCGGGGTCCCGCCTCCGGAAGAGGTAGAGGGCGATGCGCAGCTTTGCGAAGTTTGGGAGCGGCACGTGCGCCTCCAGTGCCCACGAGGCTGGCTCGGAGAGGGCGTCGTGCAGGTGGCGGGTGCCCGTCATGCCACTCCCCCACTCGCCAATGTAGGCGACGCGGCTGCCGCGGAAGGACTCGAGCGCGGCGTCCGAGAGATCCGCCTTGGTTGGGATGGGCGGCGGTGAGGGAGGCGGTGGTGAGGGGATGCGGAGCCCAGGGTGGCCGCGGGAATTGGGGCGGTGAAGGTGGTGGTGGTGGTGG